TCTCATCTCCACACATTATTAGGCAACTATCTATGGGAATGAGAGGAACAGCCCTGCTTGGAGGCTGCTCAAAACCTTTCCTGATGTTCTGCTGGCTGCTGAATGAATCCCAAGCCTCATTCTTAAAAATAATTTTAAAAATAGTTTTAAAATAAATACCCTTTCAAAAAAGTCTTTTATACTCCTGTAAAGGGCCTGCAATCCTTTCCAGAACAGGGCACCTTGTTAGTTAACTTTAATTGGTAATACTAATAGGGTACAGATCTATCATCCAGGCCCTTTGGTTCATGCATCCTCCTCAAGGCATGAAGGTTCAGGCCAGCCTGAACTGAAGTGGATCCCTAGCCCATCCTATTTCTCTGAGTGGAATACCTTAGTATGTCAGCCACCTCCATTATTCTTACTGAAATTCTACCTAGAAATTCCAGATCCCAGTTAAAAATATTACTCTAAACAGCAAACAAAAAACACCACATTATCCTGATCCTATTTATCCAGAAGGGATCTTCTCATCCTTTTGTTTTTCAAGCATCTCCTTTTTGTACGCATACATTTCAGTACATAGAAGGGGCTTTGAGTTGATGGAAATTTTCAAGCAAATATATACTTTAAAATCCACCTTTTGTTAGTCCTATATCCCCTTTAACAAAACAAAAAGAAAATCACTTCATAATGTAAATTTGAATGCTCTTTTTTTTTTTGGCAGAACCTGTGGGGGTAGTAAGAGAAGAGAATCTCTTGTTTACCTTGGCAGTATTCTAATTGAAGCATCTCTTTGAATTAAATCATCAGAAAGTTATAAAAGCAGTCAAGCTGATATTGTGGGCAATCGGCTACTGTTTAATTTGCAATTACATGCACAATTTAGAAACCACTTTAAGATAATTCACCCTCTGGAGTATTGCTAACATAGCTTCCAGAAAACACAACTCAAGGAGGGAAAAATATCACATGGAATAAGCCAATATGAAATAAGAGCCTTAAACTTAGGTTGCTAATCTCCTGAATGAAGACAAGTAGTCCTGCTTCAGAATTGTGGGACACACAGAAAAAAAAAATGTTTTCCCTGATGATACCTGCTTTCTGTTTGGAATTTGCAATTAAAAGTGAATGCAGCCAGGCTTTGGAACCATTAAGTGATTTATGCTCTATTATAGGTCAATGAAGGAATCTTAAAAAAACAAAAAACAAAACCACCCTTGCCGCTGGCTCAAGGGCTAGAAAGTCTCAATTCCCAGTCAAGAGTATGTACTTGGGTTGCAGTTTGCTCCCAGCACCGGGTTCCTCCCTTCCCTCCCAAGGAGGCAACCAGTCCCCAGTCTCTGTCACAGGGATGTTTCTCACTCTCCCTCTCACCTTCCCTCCCTCCCTCCCACCTCCCTTTCATTCTCTTTGAAAAGCAATGAAAAAAATATCCTCAGGTGAGGATTAAAAACAAATAAAAAACAGCAAAATGAAACTAAAAAGACACTGGTCTTTTCTATTTCTGATAACACAGATGAGTTACTCATTCATGTTTACTGTATTTATTGCAACCAACAACCTTTCAGTAAAAGCTTAATTATACATGTCTTTCTACTAAAAAAATATATATTTTATTGATTTTTTACAGGGAGGAAGGGAGAGGGATAGAAAGTTAGAAACATAGATAAGAGAGAAACATCAATCAGCTGCCTCCTGCCACCTCCCACTGGGGATGTGCCCTCAAGGAAAGTATTAATACATGCCCTTGACCAGAATGGAACCCAGGACCTCTCAGTCCACAGGCTGACACTCTATTCGCTGAGCCCAAACGGTTCCAGCTATACGTGTCTTTGACAAACGGTTTTACAGTTATGAAATGTGAAGATAGTGAGGATAGTAGCTTATTTACCAGAAAGGGATATGCAGAAGTGTGGGCTAACGTGCAGAAATAATTTCTAAATTTTAAGAAAAGGATGTTGTAATCTATTAAACATTGAACTTAAATTGAATATATAACCTACTGTCCAGGAAAATGCCTTCTGACCTTGTGATCTAGAACATTCACTGAACAACAATAGATATTCAGAAACATGATTTTATTTTTTTTCATACAGCAATTCTGATTGAGGCGTAAAACAGAAGCTCAGAAACCAGTCCTGGTAACAGCACCAAAGAGCACGCCAGAAGCCCCTAAGTATAATCAAGAAAGCTTTATTTCTCCAAAATAATAATTTTGAAAGTATACAAAGAATACACATTAAAGCGACACCATCTGGAACACCTTCTGTTTAGAGCTTTTTAGAGCAAAAATGCTCTGTATGTGGGAAATATTATTGCAATATTTTCCTGTCTAAAGGCATTCATGCTCTGCATACAGAGAAAATTACCATGAAGATTACAATATATATCTAAATTGTGACTATATTCGGTGCATGATTATCAATTTATGAACTGTTCCAGTTCAGAGGGTTCTTTCTCCTCCTTGCCTTTAAGGAACATTAATATATTTTATCACTTTAATCAAAGGTAGACAAGGACAAGGGGAAAATGTGAAATTAATTCATTAAATTTACTTATGATTTCCTATTCTGGTTCTAGCAGTTACTAGCAAAAAAAAAAAAAAAAAAAAAGTTTAAAACTTACAGCTGGTTGGTTTCTCGCTTTTTCAATTATTCACTATCTCTATATGTCATCAACATGAGTAATTGGAAGTTGTTTTATTTCCTAAAGCCACAATTTTATCTGTCATTGACAAGTCTAACACAATCTACTTTCACACTCGTTATTTCCCAAGGGGCTAATAGATCACAAGAGAGATGAGAGAGAGGGCACAGCAATGAAACTCTCTTATTTGGACATGACATTAAAACAGCTCTTAGCCAATCACGCCTATAATTAATGGGCTTGTTTGAGTGCTGGGAGAGAAATGTATATTCACTATCTGCCTAGTGACACAACCATTCGTAAAGTCAACCCAGGCCAAAAGCTTACGAGTCACCTTACCTCCTAGTTTACAAAGAACTGAACACCATCAGACTGCTGTCTCTCTCAACATCTTACCACCAAATCTAGAAAGCTACCCACATCAAAACCACTCATCAACTCTTCTTCTCTTCCTGTTCTAATTGTTCTCTTGTCCTCTCACTTATATCTTCCATCTCTCCTCTTTTCTTTACCGAAAGGATCATAAAAGTTTAACCAACACAGAACAAGCTGTATTTCTGAAACTATAATTATTAAACATCAGTCTTATCTCTATGGTTTCAAAGATTGGTCGAGACAAAAAAATAAATTCTCATAGGGCCATGTGAGAGAGGACCCATTGGAATTTGAGGTGAAGGTCACAATATTAGAAATCATTTATCTTCAAATATTTGAATCACAAACTATTTTGAAATTTTGGGTTATGACCAAAATCTGTATTATCTGAGCCCTTTTCTTACTTTTAAAAATTGAAAACCATCATCACTCAAAACTAAATATACACATCTGCTGTTTTTTTTTTTTTTTGTTTTGTGTGTGTGTGTGTGTGTGTGTGTGTGTGTGAAAAGTTGATTTAACTTGTTGGGACTACTATTGGTGGGGGGATATCTATGTTTTTAGGTGGCTAACAAATGAATATGTAATCCCATTACAAAACATGGCACACTACTGAATAAACCTGGACCTTACTGAATTAAAATTTTTATATGCCTTCATGCTTGAAATTCTAGATTGTTGACTCCATCACTCCTTTGTGTCTCTTTCCCTTCCAAATGTAAAGCTAGACAAATCCAAGCCATCTAAAAACAAACTGCATACACATTCCCTTTCTAGGTCAAATCCCTTCTACTTTGATAATCCTACTTATCTCCAGTGTCCTTGACAAACTATTCTCACTATCTGTTTCAGTGTACTCAGCTCCTAGCCTGCACCTAATCCAGTTTCTGCTCTCTCACTTCTGAGCTTCTCTAAGTCAGCAGGTTCCATCTGCACCACTTACTTATGGAGTATCTGTCTTCATTAGGCAGCACCTGAAGCTTCTGACTATTCCTTCCTTCCTGAAATGCCCTTTCTAGGTTCTGTGACACTCTCTCTTGGTTTCTGGATTCACTCCCTGGGTAAACTAGCTTAATGTTTCAGGATAGCTTCTTCTCCTGTCAACTGTCCCGCCTCCAAAATGATGTGCATTCACCAAGGCTCCATCATGTTACATATAATGACCTGGAAAGCCCTATCCTATCAGATCTGGCCCAGGAGTATCTCTGAAACCATTATTTCCCACTCTCCTATTCATTCAAATCTCCCCAGAGCTTCCTTGTGGACCTTGAACATGCCAAGCACAATGCACTAGGGTCTTCAAAATAGCCTTGACCTGATGTCTGGGACTCTATGAAGACTACTGCATGGCTTGCTTCTTCACTTTATGCAGAAGATGCCTGCCCTTTTCCCTACCTAAAACAGAACATTCTACATCAGCCACTCTCTCTTTCCTTTAGTTTGCTTTAAACTAGTTAAAATTGATGGACACAATACAATGTAGTTTTCTGTGTTGTTTCCCCCATTAGTGTGCATGCTTCATGAAGGCAGGGACCATGTCTATTTTATTCATCACCATATCCTCAACCGTTACCTTATGCACAGCAGATGCTTTGTATTTATTGAAATAAGTAAATAAATTAGCTATGTACAAGTCGCATGCAAAAATACTTCAGGATCTTATTTATTCTGTATATATCTACACTGAAAATATATTTACAATTACCAAAGTGCTTCTGAATGCTTAAATGTGAATGTCCCAAAGGCATCTAGGTCTATAGAAAATTACAGTAATTAATAGTACTGAGTTTCTCATAGCAAATACAAAAAAAATATGCAAGCTTCACTCATATACTCTTCCTACTGAAGAGTATATAAATATATGTGTACACACATACACTTACATATAATTCGGAAAATGTCTAGCAGGCTATAAAATCATGGGCTTGCTCCCAAGCAGATAAACACAATATTCCACTCCCTAGTTATTAAAGAATCAAAGACAAAAATGCACTTACCTTCCTTTCTCTACCAAGAGCAAAATATCCACTTTCTCCCCATTTTGAATCATTGTGCTGACAGCTAGAGGGAGGAGAGAAAAACGTCAACATATTTCTTAAGAACATTTTTCTAAAAAACCATAAAGACACAATTATTAATACTCCTTGGCCACAGGTTTTGGAGTGAGTCCTCTTAATTTTATGTAAAAGCTACCATTACCATATGCAATAAAAAATTGTGTCCAAAATATAAGATGAGGGCAAAAAAAAAAAAAAAATCTTACTTAGTTCTTGCAGTCTTCTTAAGTTCATTCTATCTTCCTGAACTTCCTGCATTTGAAGGCAAAAACGCAAACTAGACTTTTCCATAGCAAACCATCCTTGTTTCCACTGATCCAGGGCATGGCAGTCTTTGTAGTAAAGTTGGCCAATCAAATCATAATTAGCTTGTGTTAAGTTTTCAGCAACACAGGGAACAAAATGCTGTTAAAACAAATACAGAAAAGTAAGAAAGACAGTGACTATAGGAAATCCCTTCCTTATCTGCAGATCTGAGGGAAAGTAGGAAAATTATCTTTAATTTTAAAGATTTAGAAGTAACCTAAATTTCAGAATAATTTTTTAAACTTGCTCTCTATCTTAAAAGTGAACAGCAATTAACACATTTCCAAGTGGCAACATCTTAAACCATTTTTCTCCATATATATATATATATATATATATAAATGTATATATAAAATGTGTATATGCATATATGTATATATATAAATGTGTGTATATGTATATATATATATATATATATATATATATATATATATATATATATAATTGAAAGAGGAAGACATTCTCTTTTGATGTGTTGTACTTTCCAAAATATCAGCCTTCACTGTCTTCACTTGCAACTTTTACTGAATCTGCCATTTCCCCTTTGTGTATACCATGAGTAAGATAACTACTCATAAAAAGACCTTCACAGAAATACTTTACAATATTGAGGGGGGAAAAATCTTAATCATCAAAACACGACTTTTATTTGAAGAATAATTTCCCCTGGGTCCTATATTAATTTCTTCTCTGCTTAGAGCTCTAGGAAGGTAGCTCTTAACCTCTTTGATTATAACCTTTGAAAACCTAATGAAGTATGGACTTTCTTCCCAAAATCTTATATAAAATTTGCACAGACCTCAAAAGCTCAACCATAGTCCCCAAGCAGAGAAACTTCTCTGGATTTAGGGGAAGAATGCAATCATTAAATACCTTAGCTATTGCCTCTGTCCATCTTCGTTGGGCTTGAAATGTTTCAGCTCCAAATAAAAACGCACGTTCTGAGGGCAAGTAGATCTCAAAGGTGAAGATGGGCCTGTGGCACACGCGAATAAAATGATACCAACGGTTATGTTTGGCTCTTAGGAAAACAAATAACACGAATGTCAAGTGTTTTCATTAAATGCATTCTGAAAACTGGATAATGCTGTGAAATCAATCTCTCACAGTGTTCTGCTGATGGTATGTACTTTGTTCAAATGAATAAATGTGATTGTCAGCTCCTTCCTATAGATAAACAGAGTAACCTCCCTTGTCCTGAATTCTTCCCTTGGTTTCTTATCCACAATTTAAACTATTTCATGGAACATGCTAAGTATGTATGCTTCTACTACTTCAAGGCCTTAACATACCCTATACTGTGTAATGCCTTCCCTTTTCCTCTTTTTGACCCAAAGCCTGTTATATAGCCTTCATGTTCCAACTTAACTCATCAATAAGCTCAAAACCATCTCCTTTAATTTATCCCTCCCTTTGCTGTCAGTCAGTTTTTTATCTGGTTAGTCAGATGTTTAATATATCAGATTAAACGTAATATTCTTTCAACCCACTTTTTAAAATAATCTCTTTCTCTAGCTAACTCTGGGTAATTAGGATCTCTCTTTCTCCAAACTCTTCCTTACCACTGTAGCCAGCTTTCTCCTCAGTGCCTACATTACTGAGTTCAAACTCTGTAATATGCTACTTAAGGCAATTCAGAATCTGGCTGCAACAAATATACTGTAGATGCTTTCTCCTGCACATCTATTTGTAGCAGTATCATTCTACCAAGAATGTTTCATTTTTAAATAACTATATGCTGACATAAATTCATATTATTTTAAATTATGTTTTATTTACTGATTAAGTGTCTCAATGCATTGAATGCACTTATTTTAACATTCCACAGTAAGATACAGTAAACCTATAATTCATTTAGGATAGAAGCTCTGTTAAATTAAAATAAAAACAAATCAACTAATAATCAATTTTGTTTGCATAAAAAAATCAAACTAGATTTATTAGAAAACAACAGTCACCTCAACTAGAATATATTGAACATTATTTAATAATGTTTCATGTAATGAAAAAGCTGTGCAAATCTCTCCTCTTTTTAATATAGAATTTTCATTAAATACTATGCTCCTTTATAGTTAACGTTTGCAGATTTGGTCTTTGCATTTTCTCATTAATTTCGTCACAAAATGTGATGAGGAACTTCTACAACAAAGATCTTTGATGCTCTGTTTCTAAAAGTCCTCACAGGAATTTCTGTTTAACTGTTCTCTGAGACAATATATTAAAAAATGTGTACTTTTTGAATTGCAACCTATTTGAGACCATTAAAATGTCAAAGTAGATCTTTAAGAAATTTAGCACTTCCATATGTTACTAAATATACTTAGTATTTTGTTGATATTAATGTGAATAAATCATCAACAAATATTTTCTTTTGTCATCTATTCGAACCATGGTGCCTTAAACAGATGCATAAATTTTGCCCTTAGCCCACTATTTTCAATAATGAGTGAGTCATAAAAATTACAGGACTACATGTCATGAACGAATTACTATAAATGTACTTACTATTAGATGTAAACACGTCAACCTTTCCTATTACCTAATGCAATATTTTAATTTTCACCTTTTAGTGAATTCCCTAAGGAATTTTAAGAAGCTGCAAAATGAGTATGCTTCAAGAAACCATTCAACCCTTCCACAATAAGCAATGGAAGAACTGAGTAACAAAACCCTTATTACGTGGTGTGACAGATAACAGACATGCTTTCACCTCCTGCCTGTGGAGAGACAGACTTACCCGGTGTTTATATAGAAGTCCTCTTTGTGCACAGCCAGGCAGATGACTTCACTGATATTGATGGTGCCGCTGGGAGTGGTAGACTTGTCATTTTCATAGTAACTCAAGAAGCCTCCTTCCAAAACACACCACTTTTTATTTGTCTCTAAAAATTTAAAACAAAACAAACAATAAATTGAACTGCATCACAACTCTAATAAATAAATAAAAAATACATGGTTTAAAGAATGAGTGAATTCAAGTAAACCTACTCATTTCCTATTGCTTCATGACATATAAAGTTGTCATACTCTGCTCTCAAAAAATTTATAATCTAGGAGCACAGGGTATACAAGACAAAAATAGCTATGACATTGATGACCAGTGAATCAGGCAGAGCCAAAAAGGACAGCTGCAAAACAACATTGAAACAGCAAAGACGGAGATCCATACAGACTTGAAAAGTAGGACTATGGCTGACCTCAGGTGTGCAAAGGGAAAAGGGGTCTGAGCATACAGTTCCCCTAATGCCTTAATTAGGAACTTAAATTCGCCACTAGGACCTGGAGGCCAAAGGCCAAACCCAGGCCATCACTTGTTTCTGTGACTAAGTTTCCTTGGAATGCAGCCAGGCCCATTCACTGACAGATACCTGCGGCTGCTCTCCTGCTACAGGGGCAGATTTGAATCCTGGCACAGACTACCTGACCCATGAAGCTCAAAACATTACTTTCAGAAGTCAGCTGAGTTTTGACATGTAGTTGATGGTGAGCCATTAAAATATTTCAGCAGAGGATTATCCTCAGGTTTGAGTCTTACACACTCTGCTCACTGTGAAAATGAACATGAGAAGGTGAGGCCAGAGGTAGGAAACTAGTTAGGATACTCTTGACAGAAGTCTATCTGTGAGATGAAAACAGCCCAAAGCAGGCCAGTGGGTGTGTAGTAGAGAGAAGAAAAGAGAAAGAGAGAAGGGGAGGAGGGAGAGAAAAATTAGGACATGCATGTGCTCTAAGGACATAAACATATTAATATATTGATTGGATGCAGTAGGGGTAAGTAATTAATGGTGATACTACTTTAGCTTTGATTACAAAACAGTGGTATCTACCTTTATTTAAGAGAAAATAGTTTTAGTGCATGTATTATGAATTTTCTTTTAGAACATTGAATTAGAGCTATCCTGGAAATCCAAGCAGAAATATATATATTAGGTGATTTGCCTCTTGGAGCAAACAAAGGTCTTGATAACTAGAAAGTCTATAGAATGTAGGTATTATTTGAAAATATAAGTAACCAAGGAGACAATCTTAGGGAAATTAAAATTGTAAGGAGTTGTCAACTATGCTTTAATTAAAAATAATTATACTTATATTACATATAAATTATTTTAAATAAATAAGTATATATTAATAATTATATACATATTAACAGATGTAGAGGGGTCCATGAAAGCAATGAAGCAAATGAGAAGAGACAGTATAATAAAGAAAAGGGGTAGAGTATTTCAAAAAGGAATGATTGCTGCTATTAAATAAAGCAAAGAGATCTAATAAAATAAGGGCTGAAAAATATGTCAGTTGATCCTCATAAAAATGAGGTATTAGAGAGAATCTGTCTATAGATCTGAAAATTTCCTAATTTTGATCTTCATACTATGGATATTTCAGAGGAATGCCCTTATTTTGAAGAAATACAAACTGAGGTACTTAGGACTAAAGGGACATCAAGTAATTCTGAGTAATTAGCATTTTACCCATGAATAACAGGTAAAATGCTAATATTTGCGATGTCTGGTGAAAGCTATATGGGAATTCTTTGTACTATACTTGCTACTTCTCTGTAATTATGTTACAATGATTAAAAATTAAAAGTTAAAGAAATATGTATTGTCATTCTTTAAATTTCCCTTTACCATAGGTGGTTTTGAGAAGCAGAACAAAAAGAAAAATAAGATGAGGTGTTTAGCCTCAAACACCAGCACAAAGAGAAACACTCCAAAGGCAGACCTCTGAGAGCTGTAGGGTCACTGAATTCTGAGAAACTGATAGCCAAATGAAAAGCTGAATCATAGCCAACCTAAGAACACTGGCACAAGAAGACAGCACCAAGAATTGCTTTATGGGTCCTGGGAAAGAAGCTAACCAAGACCCAATCAATTCCTGATATACTGTTCCGGGGTTTCGAATTCTGAGTCACAGAGTATATACACTCTGCACACTTACATGGAAGTCACGAAAGGCCATTACGTTTAAATAAATATATTTATTGCAGATTTCTAAAATATACGGAAAACAAAAGTTAAAGAATTTATCAACTGGAGTTATGAAGTGATTTCAAAACAATGTACTCCGATGCCTAGAATAAATTCATAGAGAATAAAGCACAATATGTACATTTATTCAGTACCCAGCTGATCCCTGGCACATTTTAGGAATTCCACCCAGTCCTCAGGCAGTTTGTGATCCAATCTAAGGGGAGCTGTGTCTGGAATAACAACCGTCAGGTGGGCCCTTTCAGGTGAGAATCATTCATGGCGGGAAGCCACCCTCAGCCTGAAAAGAAAAATTTCATAGAAAAACACAGCTTTTGAAATAGTCACTTATGACTGAACTGGCATGGATTTAAAGGAGAAAAAAAATGCATTCTAAACTGCAATCATTCTATAATCCTGGGAGGAAACAGCGTGAACAAAGTCACAGGAACGGGAAAGTGCTGGAAACTGATCTGGCCAGAGACTCGGGTTACCCGTGAAATTGGGAGATGGAAGCAAAATGGCAGGCTCAAGGCAGAGGCCAGGCGCCTGGAGCCTCACATGACAGGTGTTCAGGAGTTCATGCCTTTCTCAGCAGACAAGTGGGAGCCCTTGGATAGTCTTAAACAAAAAGTGCCAAATACATGATGCATAAAATAAATGTAAATGTGGAACCTAATTATGCAAATTCTAATGGGAAACAAATGACAGAGCTCTTTAAAAAGGTGAGTGCAAACTCATTTCCAGTTAGAAATGTGGGCTTAAGAAGATTTAGTCCTATTGCATGATCATCACAACGGGCCAGAGGTCACACAAGGGAGGCAGAGATAATCACCTTTGAGGATTTATAATAACAAACTGGGGTAGCAAATCTTGACATTCCTATTCATTTGGAAAGGAAAAGTTTTAACAAAATTATGTTGGATTGCATTGGTCTGCGTAGGCCAATTTGGACATGGTCTGTAGACTCTGACCTTGAGAAATGGTGGTACCATCCATGACACCTTGTTGGTTACTGAAGTAGTCTTACTATTATTCAGTTACTCAAAGATATCCACCAGAAACAAAATAGAGGCCACTCTCAATGAACAACCCTAAGAATGTAAGCTGTTTAATGGTTAAGAGGCCATGGTGACAGTGGTTGGACTGAATGGAGGGGCTGTTCACTCCTTTTATTCTATCGTAATAGACCAGGGAAGACAAACATTACTAGAATGTACTCAAGCACAGATAAAGGACTCCAGAGGTGACCTATTGAAATTCAACTGTGGAGTGATATGGACACAATAGTTTGATACCTGGGCTGTTACCTACAGCCAGAAGAAGATATCTAAACTCAAGGGCCAACTGGAAACTAGAAGCAGCCCCTCTACTCCTCCTCCTCCTCCTCCTCATGGTCCCCTCATCACCACATTTATGTGCCATGCATTCTTCTACACACTTATGTACATTACCTCACTGAGTCCTAGAACAACCCTATTAGGTCATTCCTGTTATGACAAACCCCTTCCTTGTATCTTGTAGACAGGCACAAAGCAGCCCATTGACTTTCCTTAGGTCACACAAGGGCTTAGCATCAGGGCTGGGGCAGAACCAGGCGGTCAACTCATGAAGCTATGGTCATAACTACTTCACATACTACCTCTCTGAGCCTGTTACACATCTGAAGCACATATGCCCATTTTTAATGAGTTAGGGTAAAGTGGAGGTCATACCTTCTGATACCTAATATGTGCACAATAAGTCTGAGATAATGCAGGTAAAATTATTATTTGTAGAAAGCATAAATAAGTCATTTCTTGATGAAGAATTTCCTAACCTGATTGTATTTAGCTTCCACGGAAACTAAGAATACACACTAGGTATAGCCTTTTCATTTTAAATAAATGTGGTTTAGCCTTGAAGAAACTTTTTTTTAAATGTATTTTTTTTTTTTTTACAGAGAGGAAGGGAAAGAGTTAGAAACATCGATGAGAGAGAAACATCGATCAACTGCCTCTTATACACACACCCCACTGGGGATGTGCTTGCAACCAAGGTACATGCCCTTGAATGGAATCGAACCTGGGACTTTTCAGTACACAGGCTGATGCTTTATCCACTGAGACATACTGATTAGGGTTGAAGAAACTTTTAAAAACTATACAAGTTAGGCACTTAACAAATCATCAAAAATCCTCAATGCTAATCTATGAAATTAAATATAAATTATATAGTTTCTAGTAGTACACCCTATCAATGACTTTCTTTTTAAAAATCAAACACTGGCCCTATCCAGTTTGGCTCAGTGGCTAGAGCATTGGCCCTCATACTGAAGGGCCTCAGGTTCAATTCTAGTCAAGGCCATGTACCTCAGTCACAGGCTAGACTCTGGCTCTGGTCCGGGCAATATATGGGAGACAGCCAATCAATGAGTCTCACATCAATGTTTCTCTCTCTAAGGAGAGAATGTTCCTTCTATTTTCTCTCTCTAGAAATCATTGGAAAATGTCCTCAGGTGAGGATTTAAAAAAAAAAAAAGAAATCAAACACTATGTCAACAAATCAAAGTAAGATGCTAAAAGGGAAAAATATGGGTGAGGAAAGAAAACAAAAAACAAAGGCAGGATGCTATTCTTCAGCTCTGTACTTAGGTTTAACACGGGCTATCCATCTTTCTTCCCATGAACACTGAATTGAAAAGGAAAAGAAAAATACAGATCAGTCTTCATAACCAGAGGCTGGAAGAACTTCAAACCCTGAAAACCTGAGCTGACAGTTTGAAGCCTCTGTAACTCTCTGAAGGACCACATGCACTTTATTCCCTGGCTTTTTCTTGGTTTTTAATCATTTTGCCCCATGGCTTCCAGACAAGCACTGACGGAGTGTGCGGCCCAGGTGCTTGCCATTCAGAGGCAAAGGTGACAACCACGCTTTAATCTCTAAATCTTTCCAAATAATTAATCTTCCCATAAAGCTGGCCCTCAATAGGAATAACACCACTAAAGGATCTTGAAGGCAAAGCGAGAAAGGAAAAAAAAAAAAAAAAACACTATAATTTTATGCTTCTTGGTAGTTCGACTTTTTCTTCTTCATTCTTAAGTAGGTTCTTCCTGAACAAAATATGCTTTTTTTTTTTTTTTTTTGCCAGCAATTACACAATTTTATACACTGGGGAAAAACAAAATATTAACAAGTCACTTATACTTTTAGTACTGTGACTAGAGAATGGTCATTTATTGGACAAGTAGTTATCACATGATTACTATGTGTTGACACAGTTTTAGGCACCAAAGATTTGATAATTCCAAGTAGACCAGAAAAGGCTGATGCTTCTTTGGGCTTTCACTCCAGAGGGAAAGAGAAACAAACCAATGAAGGAGAATCACCTTTAGGCGCTAAGTGCTATTATGGAAATAAATGGCAGACTATAAAACGAAGAGCTGGCAGTGGGCACAAACTTTAGCAAAGTGTCGAAGTGGACTCTCTGAGTAGGTGGCACTGAATTGATCCCTGAAAGGGGACAAGCAGTCAAAATGGGGAAGGGTCTCCTTGTAGAGTGAACAGCAATTGCAAAAAAAGGCAGAAAAGAACATGGCATATTGTAGAAACAGACAGGAAACCAGTATGGCCAGGCATGATGCAGCAAAGGAAGGAATATGTCCTGGGATGAGAAGATACTAAATGTACCCCAACAATGGAAGTACAGGATTTGCTTTACATTTTTAATAATCATTGAGTCTGATTTTTGGAGAATGGTTTGGAGGGAGCTAGAGTAGGTGCTGGCGGACAAACAGGAGGGTTGTAACAGCCCAGGTATGATATGATGGTGCAGGGACTAGACTATGAGGGGAGATGGAGAGCAGCCAATTGTTCCATAACCCATTTTGAGTTTGAAATAATAGACCTTGCTGAAATATTGGATGGAAGAAATGAAGACCATCAAAGGATAGCTGGTCAGGAGTTTATAGCCAATAAAATAATTTCTGTGTGTTACATAGCCAAATTTAAAAGTTCAATTTCATATTATTTAAAAGAGATTTTGCCAAAATGAGCAAAACATCCTAATTAAATTGCTAAGAGAATGCATTAGTTTCTATTTTTTAAGATAAATTTTAAACAAAAAAATATATAATTTTAAAAGATAAAAAGGAAACAATGATTTAGTTAAAGTATAAAACATCAGCCTTCAAGTGATTAAGAAAAAACAAACAAACCATACTTCAAGGAAGTCTATAAATAGTATAACCACAATTGTCAAAAAATAACTTATTTTCAGCCTGCAGGATGCTCATGCTTTATTAGAAAGCTTTAGGAAGAAAGACTTCTATTTCAAACTTCTACTTCATTCTCCGACAATAGTTTGAAGAGTATGTCTAGGATCTCCTCCTATTTAGAGGAAAGATTCTAGAAAACTTCTAAACTTATTTGAAAGTACATTTGCTGCCTTATTATTCAATTATTACTTAACTAGAGGCCTGGTGCACAAAATTTGTACTGGGGGGGGGCAGGCAGAGGGGGAGGAGGGGTGTTTCTCAGTCTGGCCTGCACCTTCTCACAATCTGGGACCCCTTGGGATATGTCCAACTGCCAGTCTAGACCCAATCCCGCAATCTGGGACCACTGGTTCCTAACCGCTCCCCTGCCTGCCTCATCATCCCTAACTATTCACCTGCCACCTCTGCCTGCCTGATTGCCCCTAACTGGCTTTGTCCAGAAAGACATCCAGAAGGTCATTCAGCTGCCCAGCCTAACTAGCATATCACATCACGCTTTTATTATTATAGATAACTGCTGTAGTCAATTCACAGATCATTTAGGTACGTTCTTCTTTCCGATCAGTCACCTTTGGACTACTTAAGGGGTTAAACATTGGTAAAGAGGAACAGAAGATGAGAAAATCTCTGTAAAATTCATCACTGATTATTGAGTTGGGGTGAGTTAAGGAAGACATTAAAAACCAATTTTTGAAAGAAGCAGAAACATCTAAATTGAAAGGATAAAAATGCTCTGCCACTGGCCAAAGTGCTACAATAATAATTATAACACAGCTCAGGTGGAAAACACTGCTTCATGCTGAATTCCTCCATTTTTTCATGTGCAAATCAGCATAATATCAACTGTCTTACTGAGTTTCTATGAGGATTACAATTAATGTACCTTAAGTAAATACCTAAAGCTTTACTAAAGGGCTGCTACTGTTTTCAGAAAAATCTAATGTAGTCCAGTTAATTCCAATAGAATTCTGCTTGGGAAAATACTTTTTTGGAAATAAAGCATTTAAACTGAAATAATCCATTCAAGTGCACAAGAATCGGGATGAACACATTGCTGGAATAATAGAGCTGGATTACAGCACCCAGGGAACCAGTGCCAGGTTCCAGATCCTCGGAATGCCTACCATCAATAGGCCCGTGGAGCTTAATCTCTTAAATTCTCTTTGTTCCAGCAAGACAGATCTCATAGTTTCCTGATATATTTCTAAAATTAGTTCACATGAGCATGAAGCCTGTGTCTTTTTCATTTTCATTAGTTTCTTTTTTTTAAAAAATATTTAATTTTTTTTTTTACAGAAAGGAAGGGAGAGGGAGAGGTGGAAACATCTATCAGCTGCCTCCTGCACACCTCCTACAGGGGTTGTGCCCACAACCAAGGTAAATGCCCTTGTCCGGAATCGAAACTGGGACCTTTTAGTCCAAAGGCCTATTCTCTATCCACTGAGCCAAACCGGCTAGAGCTTCATTTTGGTATTTCTAATGCCTGCCTAGCACATGCCTGACACAAGGATCTGATGGATAAATGCCTACAGGGCCTTAGCTCAGGTAATTCTCAAACCTAGAATATAGGTTGCCAAATCAAATTAATTCCCATCAGTATTTGGAAATCATGCTTAACCTTTATTTTACACACACACACACACTCACACATACACATACACAAACACACACACACACACACACACACACACACACACCTACCACCAGAACAAAGTGAACCACTTAACATCCGTTAGTATGCTGATAAAATAAGCACTGAAAACGTGTCATTTATTCTGTGTGTTCACATTTACCTATATTATCTCCCCAGTTAGTGTCTGTCCCTAAGGGAAGGGGCTGAGTTTCACATTTCTTTGGAATAACCTTTAAATCCTGAAACAGAATTGGTTGGCCCTATGGCAGACATCAGTGCATTTTGCTGAGAATTCCCTCAGCATCCCAACCCAGTGGTAAATCCCTGTTGCAGCTCATGAAATATTATCTGTGCCTGGAAGCATTTATAAATCCTAAAAAAAACAAAAAAAACATATTTTTTTCTACTACAAGATCAAATCTAATATCTTAAAGGGGAAAAAAAACATTAAAATGTAAACCTAATTGTTCTGATAATGAAAGACAGTTTTATCAGATAACCAAATCTAAAGGGAGCAGGGAAGATACCTTCCAGTAGTTTCTTCTCTGCAGAGAGTTTGGTAGCAGCAGAAGGAGCCTGGTACAGAAAGTCACAGAGGAACGTGCACTGGGGGGACTCCTGACTTAATCCACCTTCGAAATGGACGTCGTGTTGAGGAAAATCTAGAGAAATTACAGAAACAATGCATTTGACATCTGAAAGGTAAACAACTCCCCCTTGGCTTATGAATATGTAGGTGAGGTTGGAGCCAGAAGAAAAACTACTTCACATACACCACAGCATAAATACACAGAGATATTTATTTTACTTTGCATAAAACCTGCAAAAATAAGCACTTAACGTTGCGTTTATTATTCATTTATGAAAATCGGATTTGATTTTGGTGCAAATGATTATGTAGGATTAACTGTTTTAGTCTTCCATTTGTAAGATTAGAGAAACATAAAAAATTTCCTAGACTTTTTCTTAAAATAAAACATACTCAGATGCATCTTCCATCTTTTCGGTAATCATCCTCATTCTGATGCTTTTCTCATTTGAGAAAGAAACAGATTTGGACTTTTGTCCATGTGGGGACACATCAGAAGACACCAGGCTAATGAAGGGATGGGGCTAACCTGAGAATTTGTTGTGGTAGAGAAATTCCATCTGCAGACTCTGCCCGGCCTTCTTGGCCAGCAGGTAGGGGGTGCTGTGCACGGGATCTCCGGTTGCACACATCACGTCTGCTCCACTGAACAGCAAAGCCATTGTTTCCAGAACATCCGACGTCACCACAGCTGCACACAGAGCCTGGCCATGGAAAGAAAACGCAGCTCTTTTTTTTTTTTTTTTTAAATATTTTTTTATCTGACTTTTGGTTCATCAGTGTATTTATTTATTGATTGATTGATTATTGATTATGGTCTCACATAATTGTCCTCATTCCCATCTCAAACTCCTCCCTAGATATGCCCCCCCTTCCCCCCCTCTCTGTTGTCCATGAAAACGCAGCTCTTAAAGGAAAATGCAATTCCAGCTATTAAAATGAGTAAAAGTCTGTCCATGTACGATATGAAGCTTGTATTCCTTCTTAAGTAAGAAATATCATTATATGTGTGCCTGAATTGAACAATAGGCACAGAAGGCCTGCTCTGTATGAATTTAAATTATGACCCAAGATCTCCAAGTCTCAACTCAATGTTTTGTAGCTGTGATGTTCCAAACCTTCTAATCTAATTGCTCTGGAAGACACTTTTTATACTTATATACTCAGAAAATTCTAAATGTTTCAAAAGTAATAAAGAAGTATCCACTGAATGTTTTGTCATATTAATGTATGTATGCAATGTATGTGTATATATGTATGTATGTAATTTCCAGCCTAATCAGGATCTGTATATTCTTTCAATTATTGTTGTGTTGTGGTAATTAGAAAGATGAACTCAAATTCCAAATCCTTCTCTTTGTGGGAGGGGTAATGTGGGGAGCAGGAACAATAAACAGACACAATAAAACATTACTGATCTATGTTAATAAGCTACCTTTACATCTCTTCTTATCCTCTCTTCCTGCTTTCTCACTTTACTGGCTTCCCACTTTCTTCTAAGCCCTCTGATTTTGCACCCTGATTCCATCTGACTTCAGCCTCACCATTTACCTTCTCTGACATGGTGCATCTGGACAGGTCACTAATTAACTTGCCCTCCACACTGCATCCTTGGGATAATTGCTCATTAGCTACCCCAATGGGCAGCTCAGAGTGTGCAGCCAAGGAGTCTTGATTGTATTCACAGTTCCTGTCTACTAGTTAAAAAGTACTTTTCTTTTCTACTGAGGTCTCTGGCTGACCCCCAAAATTTCCTTCACTTCAGAATCAAGAAGCCTGGATTCTTGACCTGGCACTAATTATCTAGATGATCTTGGACAATTCTTTCTCCAAACTCTCTGGGTCTTAGTATTTTCACACCTGAAAAATGAGAATGTTAGAACATGTAACAGCTAATGTCTCTTCCACTCTGACTGCTTCTCACTGTAATCATATGTATTTCTTCTTCTTGTCTCTTTCATCACCTTAGTCTTATCCTCCAGAACACTAGATTTGTTATGGTCTATTTATTGAAGTTCATCTGTTTATGGTCAGTCTTTCTTACTGAAGTTCACTCTCATGAATGAAATAAGTACATCTTCTTTTTACAAATTATATCCCCAACAGAAAAAGATAATCCAGCAAGTTTTAAGTTTGCAATAAATATCTATTACCAAGAACACTCTATGGGGAAAAGGATATTCTCTTCAACAAATGAGGCTGGGAAACTGGATAACCACATACAGAAAAATTAAAATGGACCCTATCTTATACCACTCACATAAATTAACTCAAGTCCTGGCAGAGTGGTTCAGTTGGCTGGAGTGTATCTTATGCACCAAAAGGGTGATGGATTTGATTCCAAGTCAGAGCACACATACCGAGGTTGAGGGTTCAATTCCCAGTCAGGGTGTGTACAGGAGGCAACCAATCAATGTTTCACTCTCAGATCATTCTCTCTCTCTCTCTAAAAGTTAATACACACACACACACACACACACACACACACACACTTGGGTAAGGATTAAAAAAATTAATTCAAAATGTACTAAAGAATTAAAAATAAAATCTGATATTGTAATACAGTAATCTTCTTGGCATAGGTCTTGGCAATGATTTTTGAATATGACACCAAAAGTACAAGCAACCAAAGCAAAAATCAGCAAGTGGGACTACATCAAACTTAAAAGCTTCTGCATAGCAAAACAATCAACAAAATGAAAGGCAATCTAATGAATAGGAGAAAGTATGTGCAAACCATCTACCACCCAAAGGGTTACTATCCAAAATTCAAAATATATAAAGAACACACACAACTCAATTTTTAAAAAATCTGAATCAGTAAGGGGCATAGAAACAAATTAGACATTTTCCAAAGAAGACATCCAAATGGCCAACAGGTACATGAAAAGATGTTCAAATCACTAATTATCAGGGAAATGGAAATGAAAACCACAAGGAGATATCAACTCTCACCTATCAGAATGGCTATGTTGGAGAGGACAAGAAATAACAAATGTTGATGAGGATGTGGAGAAAATGAAACCCTTGTGCACTGCAGGTGGGAATACAACTTAGTTCAGCCAAGTTGGAAACCAGCATAAGTATTCCTCTATAGACTGAAAAATACAGTTATCATTGGATACTGCAACCCCACTTCTGAATATATATACAAAGGAAATAAAAACAGAATATTGAAAATATATCTGCATTCTGATGTTCGTAGCAGCATTATTTATCACAATAGCCAAGATAAGGAAACAACTTAAGTGTCCATCATTAAATGAGTGAGGATCAAGTGGGTAGCATAAAATGGTCACAAAAGACCTGGAATCACTCGGCCAAAAGCAAATGACAGTTCAAATCAACAGCACTAAGCAAAGCATTGCTTGTGACAATAAATGAAGAAAATAATGTTAATTCTGGTGACAGGAAGTCAGCAAAGTATGAGCTGAAGCGTGTCCTGTCCCTAAAATAGGGAAAGTTGTCAGGGGTTTAAGAACAATGGGATATGCCTACGTTAGCTAAAATATTGTGGACAGAGTTTATCGGCCAATAATGACAATGCTTTTAAAAGAAACAATGAGAAACCATAGATACAGTTTCACAAAAGGAAATAAAATGAGATTAAACAATAATTGCATCAAATAGCAAAATATTTTTATTTCTTTCCAAAATCTTAGGCACTTATTTAATAAGATACTAAAATGCATGTTTATTGTTATGTTTTATTGGATACCTTATTTAATTCCTCCTTGGTGAGAGATGCCAAAAGGGTTTTTCTGAATCTCCCTTCTTTGTACTTCTGAGTAATGAAGGTTTTTCTCTTTTCTACTGGCATGTCCATGTGTAATTCTTCATCTTTTTGAAGGTTTCCAGCCCAAAAGTCATTTGCTCTTTTGTTTCCAATGACAATAAAAAGCTGAATTATCAAAAAATTATAAGACATATCAGTTCCTAAAATATTACTTAAATCTGCAGAAAACTGACTCACATGATAAATGGAAGCATAACTTAGTGTAAAATATGCAAAAACACAAGAAAGATCCAACTTTTTCAGGAAGATGGAGTGTGAAAGCAGACACGATTTCTATTTTAAATACAGTCTAGCTGCTCTTAATAACAGTAAAAGATTAGCAAGGAAGGAAATTGCAAGCCACACAAATTGCAGCCAAAGCATGATTATTTTTTGAAGCTCACATTGAGACAGATTCATTTAAAATGGCTGAGTAGGTGGACTAACGTGGCTGAGAGTGGTGCTGAAACGAAGCAGAAAATGAAATTGGGAGACAGCAAGTTAGACATAATCGCAGTTAATGACACAGCATGGCCACGATAAAGAATGGCAAATTTTGCCCAATGTTTTCATCACTTTTCTAATATTACATCCATGCTGGGTTAAGAAGAAAGTAAATTCTGGCTTAATGGAAGAGCTGCCAAACCCTTAAAAATAATTACAATTAAAGCTCCTTGTGCTTCTTTATTTTTAAAACAACTATCTCATTTAGGAAGCATTACGAAAGTTAAGGTAGAAAGTCGCTACTATCAAAGAAGGTATAAGTCATTTCTCTAACGTGGTGAGAAGTTGATTAAGGAGTCCCTAATGTAAAGTCCCAACCAGCATCTCTCCTCCCAGACCTCTGCTCACCACCCCCACAGTAAGACCGGACTTACCTCGATGAGTTCGTTACTCCAAATGCTTGCATCCATCTTTAGACTTCTAACCTTGGAATCTTTTGGTCCTAAAGATCTATGTTGTCCTAAAGTAAAATAAACCCACAAAAAACAGTTGCATTCTATTTTAATTCAGATGTAAATAGATTTACCTTTTTAAAACAGTGTATGTGTGCATGGATGTGTGTGTTTATATATTTTTCAACTAAAAATACACTGATGTCTATTTCCACCCAGGAGCAATGATAGTGTTTATACAGAAATCATAACCAACCACAGTGAAGTTGACAATAATCACCTTCATGAATATTCTGTACTGACATAGAACTATACTCTTAAAGGTGTGTATGGATGTGCAAGTGCATGTGTGTACATGTGTGTGCGTGCATGCATGTATATAAGTAGATATCTAATTTTTGCATTGTTTGGTAATTAACTAGAAATAGTAGGTCAGTAAAAGTATTTTATAATGAGTCTGTATAAATTACATGTATGTGAAAACAGATATCCCTTTATTCTTAAAAAAAACTAGCTACAACTCTAATAAATGGGTACATAATATTCAATAAATTCTTTAAAAAAAAAAAAATATATATATATATATATATATATTAATTTCAAAGAGGAAGGGAAAGGGTGAAAGATAGGACACCAATGATGAGAGAGAATCACCCATCACTGTCTCCCACACACCCCACACTAGTGATCAAGCCCACAACCCAGACATGTACCTTGACCAGGAATTGAACCATGACCTCCTGGTTCAAATGCCTACACTCAACCACTAAGCCATTCCAGCAGGCTTCAGTGGATTCTTTATTCTACTCTTGTATGCATGGTAGAGAGTAACGGCCCAGCATTCTATTATTATCAGTTCAGTTCTGCTGAATAAATCAACATTCAATCATTACTGGGCACCCAGACATATTCAGATGCTTTATTGTCTAAGCTCCTGAGAAGGAAAAAGGTACACATGACATTACCTTGATCTTAAGAACCTTCTTAAAGCATGAAAGAATCCCTCTCTCTACTTTAAAAAGGTTCCTTTCCTCTGATCTTTGAGATGGAAACCAATCAGAACACAAAGCTCTAGAACTCCCAGGGCAGGAATTTGCACAGGTTTGCATTTATAAAGAACACCTAAAAGCAATTGGGGTCAAACTGAGAACCAAGTAGGAAGAATTGGACAGAGTAGCTTAGACCCATGGTCGGCAAATTGCAGTTCATGAGCCACATGTTTGGCCCCTTGAGTGTGGCTCTTCCACAAAATACCACGGCCTAGGGGAGTCTATTTTGAAGTAGTGGAATTAGAAGTTTAAGTTTAAAAAATTTGTCTCTCAAAAGAAATTTCAATCGTTGTACTGTTGATACTTGGCTCTGTTGACTAATGAGTTGCCGACCACTGACCTAGACAAAAAATGACAGAATCTGTGTTATGGCAGAAGAAAGAGAAACAAAGAAGAGGGCTGATTTAGAAATACTGCAGAGATGAAACTGATGGGATCCGGTGGCCTGCAAGGAAAGGGGAAGGGTCAGGAGGATCTCTGGGATTTTAAGCTTTACAGTAGGTGGGCATGACTGTTCCTACCAGGAAGTGCAGTTTTATGTAATGAGCTGGCCATGAATGAGAGCTCCAATTTTAACATGTTATTTCTGAGGGATCTTGGGCAAACCTAAGAAGAGGTCCTAGGTAGATATGTGTGTGGTTTCCATCAGAATCATCGGCATAAAGATGAGTGCCGAATTCCAATGATAAAAATCACCTCTCAGAAACAGTGGAAGACAGCAGAGCATGCAACCCCAGGGAACACACCTATTTCAGGAGCAGATAGAGGAAAAGTAGCCCAAGAAAGGATGGCAGAGTAGAAAGAGCACACAACGAGGAAATGGTCTCTTGGAAGTTGAGGGAGGATGGGTAGTTATAAGCGTCAGATTGTTAAATATCGCAGAAGACAGTAAAGACTGGAACTGACCACACAGACATGAAGAGGTAGAATACATTGGTAAATGTGGGGAGAATATTTTTACCAGAGTAGAGAGAAAAGAAGACTGATTAAGAGATGCTAAAGAAACACTAGCAAGTTAAGGAAATGAAGAAGACCTGTGGAGATGATTACTCTTGAAAGTATTTGTCTATTAAAGAAAAAAAGGGACAAAGATTGATACACAGGAGGGAATGGTTACATTTTCAGAAAGCTGGTGTTAACAGGACAGACTAAGGCTGGTTTATATGCTAAAACGGAAGAAGCCATAGTTGAAGAGAGTGAGAAGAAAGGAAAGAAAGGGAGCATGGGTAGAAAGAACAGCCTTGGGCAACACAAAGGCTATGTCTTCCTGAGACTAGAAAGGAACATATGCAAAGTGGAGAGGGATGAATGGATGCTCTTCCTTGCTGCTATTGATGTTGTTGATTAGCTGTTTGGGAAATCTATCCTGCGGTGATGAGAAATGTGGTAACACTGAGAGTATTAAAGGTTTAAAGAAACGTCTTGACTTAGGTGCTTCTCCTCCATGTCACTCAATAAAACCTGTACTCTACTCTTGCTCTTATCCTCCTTATTATAATCACTATTGATATGCTCATGCAGGGAATTCCATGCCTTCTACATCTTTTTAATTCCTAGGCCAAGCACAGTACCTGGTAGAGCAAAAAGATGCAGTCAAGTTTGGGGGGGGGGGGGGGGGACTAACTCTCCAAGATCTCCATGACTTCACACCTAAGCTGGGGGCCACTGCCTGCATTCACTTGGAAGACTGTGTGAGCTCCCAATGCAATGAACTAGCAGTCTATACGGTGTAAGGTTACAACAGGAAAACCAGTCATGGTACTGGTTACTTTCATAAATTTCACTACACTTGGAAAATGCTTCTGTATAAAAATCCTCACTAGAAGAGGTACCGGACCTGGTACACCAAGTTTAGAGCTCTGAACAACGTCGATGTGAAAAATAGGATTTATGAAATATGACCAAAGGAAAAAAGAACAAATCATACAAAGAGCAAGGTGTTCAGCGTGTGTTCTGAAACACATTCACCAAAAATTTAAAAATGTTGACGCTGTCTTTTTACAATCCACACATGGACCAGTAGGCACAAAAAAATGATTACATGCTTAAAAATCAATTTTGATACCGATGCCATGCATAAGACAAATTCAGAATTGCATTTCTAAAATTGATTTAAATGTAATGAGCTTTCTGTGTTTTTATTTTCCACAACCCTTAGCTGGGATGCATTACATAAGACAATAAAGAGCATCCAGTGCCACTCTGCCACCAGGCAGTGATGAGCATAAGGAATCACTAATTACCTGCACACTTCTTGCAGATGACGACGCAGAGATTGATGGATGCCCAGTCCGGATCCGGGGCTTTGCAATCCGCACAGCTCCTGTTGGACTCATTGAACCAAATCTTCTCAGCTACTTCATAATCAGAGAGAGTTTCTGCTATCGATTGCTGCACAGCTTCAATCCACTCTTGTTTCTCCTTTTCAGACTCAGCTACAAAGCTGAAACAATTAAAGTTTCTGCATTATTGATCTCCCTGCTAAAGGCCAATTAAGTGGTATGTCTAGGTTGCATATTCATTTCACTCACACGTTAAACAGCAGCTGAAAAATAGGCCTTGCAGGCAGTTGGATAGTCTCTTCTGTTAATTATCTAATTTAGAAATCTATTTTTTTCTTTAATTTTTCACATTGCTTATGCCTTCGTTTATATATCTTGAAGCAAAATTAATACATAATATTTTTCGAACCAGGATATAAAAATTGTCTTGTTAGGTTAAGAGTTTAAATGAGAGGCAATTTCCTAAGTAGTGGTTACATAATAATCAAAGAGAGACTGTCAGTTTCAGATTTATAGGATTATTTCCCCAAGAAAAAAATACCAGGGTAGTCTGAAACTAAACTACAAAACTACCCACCAGAAATTTAAAAATTTTTAGTACTAAAAATAGATTATTATGTCATTTAAAGAATGTACAGATGGCTTTAAGAAACTGAGAAATCAAAGTTTTTAGTGATTACTATTCAACAGAATTCTAACTCATTTTTAGCCATGTTTTGATTTATTCTATATCTTAGTGTCTATTGGGTTCTTCAGTGAAAGAATAAAAACATTAATCATCAGTTTCTTAAATTCCTTTAAGAAAAATTTACCAAGTACCTATCATGTGCCCTACTCAGTCAATGACCCACAGAACAATGCTTTACCATTACCATTTTCTGTTCTGAAGAAGATGGTTTGAAATACAATGAAAATATAGACGACTAGCAAATTTTACACAATCAGGAAGAAAACTGAGTGGCCTGCGTGGATTTTTGTTGAAGTTCTTTATGATGCCATTATCACTGTAATAGTTATTCATTTCTGAGTGGCTTCTCTTTCTATTTAGAGATTGGTCACAGCTAATACGGTTCCATTAAAAATAGATATTTGATCTTTACTGGTACATAGCTCTCAAACCATTGGAATGATAAACGTGTCTTTTATATGCTAATATGATAACTTGTGGCTGGGAGTCTAGACTGGAGTTGGACACCAGAAATACCAACATTTGATTCCAGCTGGAGCTTTCAACCAGCCCCACCCCCTGACCTCTGGGAAGGAGGAAGGACTAATGATTGAGTTAATCACCAATGTCCAAAGAGTTGATCATTCATATCTTTGGAATGAAACCACCATAAAAACCCCTAAACAACAAGTTTCTGAGGAGGGTGGTACCTCCAGAGAGGGCATAGAAGCTCTGTACCACTAATCCCTTGTTCCCTGCCCTCTGCAGCTCAACCATCTGGCCTTTCCAGGGTTGTATTCCTTATTATAAACTGGTAAGAGTAATTAAACTGTTTCCCTAAGTTCTGTGAACAATGCCAGCAGTTTATCAAACCTGGGGGAAAGGGAGTCAGGGGAACCCCATTTTATAGTCAATATGCACAGAAGTGTGGGTACTCCGGGACCCAATACTTGCAACTGGTATCTGAAGGACAGTCTTGTGGAACTGAGCCATAAGCCTGTGGGGTCTGATGCTCACTCCGGTGTGACAGAATAGAACTGAATTGTAGAACATCTGATTGGTGTTCAGAGAGTTGGAGAATTGATTGGTATGAGGAAAACCCCATAGATTTGGTGTCAGCATGTTGTGAGTAAAACAGCTCAGTCAATGTCTACATTTTCAGTTGAAGCATGCATCTGCATATGTGAAAATAAAGCTTATTATTCCTTACATTTTTTTATAGTTACTAAAATTGGAGCCAGCAGACATATTTTGACAGATAAATTGAGTACTAGACTTGTATTTTTGAAATTGGTAAGTAATTGTTAGTCCTTAAGGAACTTTGACAATTGCTCTGACCTTTATACTACCCTGTGGTTTGCTGATTATTTGTGACAAATGAATTAATGTGGTTGAACTCAGCAGATACTGATTTAGGCCTCTTCTGTGTACTAAAGCTAGGGAGTCATAGAATATCCTGACACATATGAAGAACATATATTGAGTTTCACTCTGATAATGAACTATTACTAGAATACCATAATACAAGATATATAACAAAAAAAATAAAATATTTGATCAGTAAATACTAGGAGATCCATTAAACTCAGCATCATTTTAAACTGGAGCTTCTTTTAGGAAATCATTACAGAACATTTATAATTAGGAGCTGATCTATACTTGATCAGGCTAAAAGAAGGTAAACAGCAACACAGCCTAAAGACAATGTAATATCCCCTTTTTACTTTATTCCTTCAAAATGTGATGTAAGATTTCATATAATTGTCGATAACAAAAATGAACGTACTATATAAATCCACTAAGACAAAGGTGTTTTAAGAAAAGAAACAACTCAAATTTCATGAAATTAGTATCTGCAGGTCTTGTGATTCTTCAGATCACGTTCACAGGTGTTTACAGAGATTGACTAAGAAATTAAACAGGATGCAAAGTGAAAACACTGTTTTACTAAATGTCCTACAAGGAGTAAAATTGCCACTAGCCATGCAAAAGAGGCTCCCAAAGCTGCCCTGCAGCAGTACAGACATACAATGTTTCAGTACAGCTTACCTAAAACTCTTATAGGGCGTGATTATTTCAAAAGATTGTTTCACAGTCCGGTCCACCTGCTTCACATTGGCCACATTCATTGGGATTATGGTAATACCAAATCCACCCTTAAAATCCTAGTTTGAAGAAAAATATTTTAAAAAATGATAAAACAAACATATAAATGTCAAACGTACAGTTATGTTCTTGAAAACCCAAAACATCTTACTAAATGTGACTATATACATGTGAATGGAATTAAACAATTCATTAAAAAATGCACTGAATAGTTATTTTTAGGTAGTCACTTTCAATACATGATAACAAGGTCCCTTTAAAAGGCGAAAGATTGATGCGATCTGAAGAGAAACCAGAGTATAACAAGGTCCCTTTAGTCAAGTATGTCTTTTTCTCACATGAAACACAAGTATGAGTAGAACATAGATGTTTGAGCTACGCACACCTGGCTTTAGGACCACGTGCCCAGCAGTTTTCTAGGTGGGGGAGCCGAAGACACTGTGAGGCTGCTATAGTTACCATTTATATAAAAAGAAGGGGAGGTCAGGCACAGAAAGATTGTTCCATGGAAAGTGCAGTTGTCCGTGGTGGAAAGGGGCTGAAACCCAAGCCATCTCTTTGCTGTTCCTCTGTGCTACTGTATGTCACCTCTGTCCTGTCACATCGTTTCTCATTTACTCTCAAATGTACTTACACTGAGTGGCCAGATTATTCTGATCTCTGAACGCATAATAATCTGGACACTCAGTGTATATCCTATATAATAAAAGGCTAATATTCAAATTGTCCCCTCGACCAGCCAGGCCATCCAGCTGCCCATGTCCCCTCCTCCCCCGCCCATGCAGGAGTTCATGCACCAGGCCTCTAATATATGTATACAGAGTGGCCAGATTATTATGCGTTCAGAGATCATAATAATCTAGCCACTCAGGCTCTTTTACAATTTTATCTCATTTCCAATATTTTATTACATTCCTCTTTCTTCGGTCAGATTCTGAAGAAGCTCTTCCATTGCTATTTTGGTTTGAAAACTGCCTTTTGTTCAACACCTACGGCCACTATGTTTGGTTTGTCTCACCAAGATTAGAAATTGCTCAAAATGCTATACCGTCTGCATTTTTAAAAACATTAAAGGTTGCAAAATATTGTCTAGTCAGAAGGGCTTGGGAATTTGATTTATCAAATGAATAAGCTCAACACATTAAAAATATAATTAATCTGTACCTCAAGAAAAGAAAGTATCTATGTGAAGAGATACAGAATGGCTGTGATTGGAATGCCTAAATTAAATTATGGCTGGGAAAAGAAGCCATAACAAAGGCAGACTGCAAAAAACGCTGGCCCACTTCCAATAAGGGCACTGCGGCAGAGACTGGGAAAGTAACAATGCGTGGGCCTTCTTCCCTTTGTCTCTCCTGAGACACAGGTCAAAAGTAAAAGCACTGTTTTCCCACTTTGCTTGCAGGTGGGAAGGGCCATATCTCATAGCTCTAGTCAACAAAACAGAAATAATTCCTGGCTTGGGGCAGGAAGGTGGAAGGAAAAGCTTGCCTTTCCATCTTCCTGGGAAATAACATCCAGACGCACAGAAGCCACTTTAGCCTGAGCCCGAGGACAGATTCCTGGACTCGGAGGAGTCAGAGGGAGTTAACAAACAGAAAGAACCCTGCTCCCTGGTGGCCTCCGCTCTCCACTGCCTACACCAAGAGATTTGTTAAAACAAATAAATCCCTACAGCTGAGCTGTCCCTGCAGTTTGATACATTCCTGACATAAAATAAGTGAAATAAAATGACAGATCTTTCCCGCGTTCGCAAAGGTATCCAGAAGCTCCATCACAAATTGCAGGAAGTCTTCTTTTATATAGTTTTTTAAATTGGTCTTTATTGTTGAAAGTATTACAGATTTCCCCTTTTTTTCCCGAATGACCCCCTCTACCCTCCTCGTGTCCCCTCCCGTGGCCTTCACCCCACTATTGTCTGGGTTATGGATAGATGCATGTAAATTCTTTCGCTTATGTTTTTTAATTTAAAAATTTTAAATTAGGATAAGAAAACAACTCATAAAATAAATTGTCAGTTATAAAACTTTTTTTTTCTGCTGAAGGAACAAATGACTCCTTTTGCTAGGAGAGACAGGCTAAAAATTGAGTTGATAATATAAAAGATGTAGAGATATGCCGAGTGTTGTAAAATAACTAGAAGAATGTGGAATACTTCTTTGTATAGTAAACCCACTGAACAAAAATCAGTGTTTAATGTGACCTATATAGACAGAAGAGAATCAAACTTTTCCAACATGCTCCATAGCAGTGTTTCAGCATATGCTTTCAGTGTTATACTTACTAATTAAATTACAAGCAATTATCATAGCATGGGACAGGCTGGATAATGCAACTGTTCGAGAAACCCCCCATGCATGGGATTGGAAACGCAGCTCTCTTTTAAAAATGAAATAAAGTAGGGGTAGTAAGAAGAGAAGATATTTTTGAAAAGGGTTTCTGATGGCTCAGCTTGATGCAGGGATAGTTTTAGAATAAAACTGCTAAACTGCATGTACTCACAACAGTTGTGAGAAATGAAGCATTTGACAAGAGTTGGCTATCAGATTGCTGCCAGTTGTGTTTTCTGAGGGGGGTCTGGCTGCAGGCACCATGGGTTACTAAGGGCACAGTGCACACTCAGCCATCAGACTGCAGAGGGAAGACTGACAACCTTTACGGAGCCTCTTTAAGGCTCCAGCCTGGAGAGATGTCCTTCCTCTCTGCACGCAAGTCATGAGAGTTCTACTCACAACGCTGAAAGTTCTGTTACAAACAAAATACGTGAGGATCGGCAATGCTAAAATTACAACCCATTCATCAGCTGCTTGCTACGGCCTCCTGGTTTGGAGTAATTAGAGGACCCACTGAACTCGCCAGCACAAATGGGCTGTGAAATGTACCGCAGAGGAACAAGATAAATGTCAGTGCTCTCGAGAGCTATTAAATAAGAAACAACTGCGTTTCTTATTAAAAATATCTGTGGTGACATTAAGCCATCTTTTCAGACAGTATTTAGAACATATTTAGAATAGATCTCATTCCTTGATGCTCATCAAAGTTAACCGTGTAGATGTCTCACTCCCACCTGAGAGTCTGATTCCATGAGTCAGAAAGCAGAATCTAAGAATCTTCCTTTAAAAAACAAAGAAAATTCAAGATTGGTGTGGCTCATTGGTTGAGTGTTAACCAATGAACCAGGAGGTCACAGTTTGATTCCTGGTCAGTGCGCATGCCTGGGTTGCAGGCTTGATTCCTAGTATGGGGCGTGCAGGCAGCAGCCTGTCAATGATTCTCCTTCATCATTGACGTTTCTCTATCTCTCCCTCTCCCTTCCTTTCTGAAATCAATTAAAAAATACATTTGAAAATAATAATTTTAAAAAGTAAAGCAAAACTTCAAGCCTGTGATTCTCACATGTCGCCAATACTGAGAAACACACAATTAGAGAGCAGAACCAGTGGTGGGGAGTCAAGACAGTGTGAGTGTGCAATATTTACATATCAGGATGTAAACACTTATCTTTCTGAAAAGCCAAAAAGAGCACAAGATCAAATCATACAAAGATCATTTGAAATCATTAGGATGAATGGTAAAGAGAGGCTGGTCAAAACTCAGTGACACACTGGGTTTTATCAGGAACCCATTTGTCCTGGGTGCCAACCCCTATGCTAATACTTAGAGGCTCGAAAGCATCGGTCTTCCTTGAGCACATACAGAGCACTCCATCATGGGCTCCATAGCTATTTGTGTAGTGCTCTGAAGCTGACAGTCAGCTGTGAACCCTCATTTGCTTTCTTGAAGAATTCTGTGAAGAAGGCAGAGCAGATACGCCCTTTTTTAAAATGGGAAAATGTGTTCTGGCAAAACAGCATGTATGAAGTACTTAGCAAGTGCCCGAAAGTGTGCTAAGTTCTGGGTCAGCCCCAAAGTCCAAGACAGGATGCCCGCCTTGGAGAAGATCCGGTGTAAGGCAAGAATGAGGGAACGGCCATAAGGCACTGGAAGAAAAGTGCGGAGATGCCTGCAGGGGAAGCACCGAATCCAGCCCAGAGAGGAACTGTGTGCATAGGAGGCTTTCCAGAGGCAGTGACACTTGACTGGACAAATGACAAAACCCAGACCAGCTTGATACACAATACCTCTCTTGCTTCACGAAGTTCACTCATTTGTAAAATGGAGATAACAGTAGCAGCTATTGTATCACTGTGGGGAGCATTAAATTCATACCTTTAAAAATGCTCAGAAGAATAAACACCTGGTACGCAGTAGGCGCTACACAGCTTCTGGTGTGAGCAAGTGTTATTTTCTACCTGCTTAAGTTTAAAGCCAATTGAAGATATTACCTGTTAAAAAGCTAATTACCAGAGAATACGTGCACTAAAATAACAAGCATATATATGCTTTTCAAATGTGATGGAATGTGCATGTTAGACGTTCAAGAAAATTTAAAATAAATTACCCACTAACCGCAATCTGATTGTTAGCGCTATTCTCATTTTGAAAAATAGATACAAGTCAGGAACAAGCCAAATTTCCAATCCTTAAAATGCCATAAACTGGATTGAAAAACAAACACACATACACACACACAATACAATAAAAATGAAATGCCTAGAATATTATTTTAGAAAAATAAAGCTAAACACAGAGTAACCGATACTTCACATTTAATTTGCTGTCAGAGAATTCGGAATCTCAGAAAGCACGAATCCCCCACCGGGACAGCTGTAGCAATGCCGTGGTTGGCAGTGCAGGCCTGATGTTTGCAACAGTGGGGGTGACCAGGAGGCACTAGGGTCAGGCCTCGGGGGCAACCCTGTCTGAGCCGCTCACTCGCGGTATGATGAGCTGCTGGTGAGTCATTTAGGTTATCTAGACCTCAATGTTCTCATTTATGAAAATACAGCAATATCTGCCATATATGCATTTCTATAAAAATTGATGAATATAAAATTGAGGATCTAATATATCCAGACAATCCTTGCATTTGAGGGTTCTAAAGCCAGAATTTGTCTTCAATAAAAAACATTTCCATTTTATTTAGAATGGCTGGAAGTAGCCACACCAATGACTCCAT